TGCTCACATCTTTGTATCCATATTTTGTGCAGCTCTTCTGTCATTCTGGTTGTGGCTGTCTTAAGCGTGTCTTTCATTTTGACTCCATTTAGATTTCCAATTAGCTTTGTTAAGTCCTTGTTATAAATTCCCTTGACTATGTATCTTAGGCTTTTTTTGGATTCGTTAATGATGAGTTTAAGTTGGTTGTGCCAATTATATTATTTATTGATATATATTTAATATTACAATTATATTAAATATTATTTATAATATTAGATTACAGCTAAATATTAATCTATTTTACTTTTTTATTACCTAGCAATATTAATAATACTTTTGAAATAGGTTCGTATTTTTAAAAGGGATCTATCTAGAGAATAGAAATTCTATCAATAGTTTTAAATTATCTAATTTGTTAATTTGACTATTTTAATAAAAAAAATAAGTGTTTTTGTAGTAATTTATATTAGTATTTTATAAATTATCTTTATTATATCATATCTTTAGTTATTTTTTTATCAAATATAAGGTCTACAAGTAATAAGATATATCTATATATTTCCTAGTAAATGTTCTGAAAATTATAGTTTTTGATTGATACAAATTATCAAATCTAGAGACCAAGTGATTAAGTAGAACATGACTTCAATATTTTTTAATAAACATTTTAAAGAAATTCAATTGGCTTAAGCTACCAAATTTAGGGACATAAATATTAAGCAGGGCATAATTTCTATATAATATAAATAGTATTTTTCAAATATAATACTTTTACATATTAGTGGTTATATTAATAATATTTTTTAGAATTGATTTTTTTTCTTTTAATATATAAAGTCAAACAGGATTAATTAAGATGATATATAGTTCAATCTGTAGTATTAAATATGTGATTGTTTTTATATAATATAATTATGAGATTTAATTAAAATTAGATTAAAAGTTTTTCTTTATACAATCCTTTTCTTATGTGATCTGTTGCAATCTTACGATTATCAAAAAGATTAAAAGTTTATTTTTATGCAATCTAATTAACTTATTATAATATATTTTTGTAACCAAGCAGATTTGAATTCTAGATCTATTCTATAACTTATAAAATATTACTATTATATTATAGACCTATAGTTTTTTATTTAAAAAATATTATTTAATATATATATAATTATTTTTATAATATATTGAATTTAAAATAACTGTAGTGATGAACTGCAGGCGATAACCTTTAATATCAAACTCCATAGGTGGGTAGATAGAAAAGAGAGCAATCTTTTTCATCTTCAAAATCATACCTAGAGACATTTGTCTAAGATGGATGTTTAAAGCAATAGAATAGTTTATGCAATACAATATATCATATATTATTTGTTTTCTGAAAAGATTTAATAAACAGTATACACTTGTTTGACTATGGAAAAAAAAAAAAATATTGAATTTAAAATAATAATAATATTGTTTTAAAAAAGTAAAATAAGAATTGTATTAATTTAAACTTATAGTAAATAGATGTATTTATAAAATAAAATAAAAATAAAAATAAAATAAGAAAAATCAATTAAAATAAAATAAAATAAATAAATAAAAATAATAATTCACAATTTTATCTATTGAAATTTTTAACTTTTCTTGAAAATTGCTAATAAAAATAATTTTCAATTGTTTTAATATTTTAAACAATATCAAAAATTAATTAAATATTATTATTTCAAATTAATTTTATAACTTTGTTCTGATATTAAAATTAAAAGATAACAATATACAAAAAAAAATTATTATTTTTAATATATCTTGTATACTTTTAAATCAATAATATAACCATATTATTTTATTAATAACAAGTTATTGTTGAAATTACATTATATTGCATTTGAGGATTTTACTTAAAATATCGGAAATACTATATATTTTTAAATTACACAACATAAATAAAAAGGCAAATTTATTTTTAGTATGTTAAATTTAAAATTTTTACTTTCTTGGAAAAACATGATATATATTATGATAAAGTTGCGAAAACCAGAAAACTGCGGGACTTGCGGGACTAGAATTATAAACTCCGCTTCTTTCGAATCAACCAATTACATTCTAAAAGGCAAAGTTGTATAAAAAGATGAACCAACATCTACAGTATCAAAAAACCAAATGCGTCCCTTACACAGACAATATTTAATACAACTCACCAAAAAATACTTACATAAATATTCAACACGTTTACAGAAAAAAGTGATGACGGACAATTGTTGTAGTCAGAAAGCATTGCAAAAACAATCAGGTGATGATAGTGATGATCAACCCAAAAGATCTCGAACGACTCAAACGACCCTTCCAGACGTGCAAACGCTTTCTTCCCTAACCTTGGAACCATATGTCGATACTCATACGC